GAAAGAGAAAAGGTGATCCCAGTCAAGTGAGCTGTTCAAGGTAAGTGCCTGGTCTATGGAAGTAGCCAAGGCATCGGCTGCCGGGATTCTGACAGATTTAAGGATTTTTAAAGGCACCTTCCGGAATTGCCTAAGGAATGAAGTTGCCCTCAAAACTGACATCTCTTTGGGTCGGTTCATTATGTTGATGAATCACACTATCTTGTAGAGCCGAGAGAGACAGACAATGTGAACAACTCCAAACAACCAGAGACGCTGAAGCATTTCTAGTCAATCCCACGCAAGATAAATGAAAAAACCCTTGACAATTTGAACAAATTCTTATACTTTTACGCTTATTAATGCTGCCACAATAAAAGCAACGATCACATTCCAGCAAAAAAGAGGGGAGAGACATTAATCTTCCCTCCTAATTCCTAAAATTAATAAACGTTTTTCTGTTAATTCTTGTAATTTCCGTTTGCCATTAATTTCATTTTTTCCTTTAAAATCAAATCTTCGAAAAAAAAACTGTCTTGAATTACAATTCCTTTACAATAATGTTCAAAGTGTTCAGCTATTAATTATTAATTTAATAATGATAATTTCATTTACTATTCAAATTCGTTGGGCTAATTCTAGGTTAGACCTAACGATTGTGGTTTGGGTTAATTGTACAGTCATGATTCTAGATAGATTTAGGTTTGGGGTTGTGCTACTTTGAGGTTAGACCTAACGATTATGGTTTGGATTAATCGTACAGTCATGATTCTAGATAGTTTTATGTTTGGGGTTGGTCTAATTTGAGGTTAGACCTAACGATTATGGTTTGGGTTAATCGTACAGTCATGATTCGATATAGTTTTAGGTTTGGGGTTGGGCTAATTTGTGGTTAGACCTATCGATTATGGTTTGGATTAATCGTACAGTCATGATTCTAGATAGTTTTAGGTTTGGGGTTGGGCTAATTTGAGGTTAGACCTAACGATTATGGATTGGGTTAATCGTACAGTCATGATTCGATATAATTTTAGGTTTGGGGTTGGGCTAATTTGAGGTTAGTCCTAACGATTATGGTTTGGGTTAATCGTACAGTCATGATTCTATATAGTTTTAGGTTTGGTGTTGGCTAATCTGAGGTTAGACCTAACGATTATGGTTTGGGTCAATCGTACAGTCATGATTCTATATAGTTTTAGGTTTGGAATTGGGATAATTTGAGGTTAGACCTAACGATTATGGTTTTGGTTAATCGTACAGTCATGATTCTATATAGTTTTGGGTTTGGGGTTGGGCTAATTTGAGGTTAGACCTAACGATTATGGTTTGTGGTTAATCGTACAGTCATGATTCTGGATAGTTTTAGGTTTGGTGTTGGGCTAAGTTGGGCTCAGACGTAACGATTATGGTTATGTTTAGGCCTGCAGTTATGATTCTAGTTAAATTTAAGGGTTGGGGTTGGGCTAATTCCAGTTTAGACTTAATGATTATGGGTTGGGTTAGGTGTAGAGTTATGATTTTAGATAGGTTTATGGTTGGGGTTGGGCTAATTCGCGGTTAGAGTTATGGGCTAATAAGTGGTTTGACTTAACGATTATGGTTTGGGTTAGGCGTACCGTTATGATTTTTGATAGTTTTAGGTTTGGGTTGTGATAATTCAAGGTTAGACCTAACGATTATGGTTACGTTTAGACGTGCATTTATGATTCTAGATACATTTAATGTTTGGGGTTGGGCTAATTCAAGGTTAGACTTAACTATTATGCTTTGGGTTAGGCATTCAGTTATGATTCTTGATAGATTTATGTTTGAGGTTGGGCCAATTCGAGGTTAGACTTAACGATTATGGTTTGCGTTAGTCGTACACTGTTGATTCTAGATTGTTTTATGGTTGGTGTTGCGCTAATTGGAGGTTAGACTTAACGATTATAGTTTGGGTTACGCGAACAGTTATGATCGTAAATAGTTTTGGGTTTCGGGTTGGGCTAATTCAAATTTAAACTTAAGAATTATGGTTTCGGTTAGGCGTACAGTTATGACTCAAGTTAGTTTTAGGGTAGGGTTTGTGCTAAGTCGAGGTTAGACTTAACGATTATTGTTTGGGTTAGACGTACAGTTACCATTCTAGATACTTTTAGGTTTGGCGTTTGGCTAACGATTATGGTTACGATTAGGCGTACAGTTATGATTCTTGATAGATTTAGGTTTGGGGTTGGCCTAATTCAAGCTTAAACGAAAAGATTATTGTTCGGGTTAGACGTACATTTATGATTCTAGACGGTTTCAGGCTTGGGGTTGGGTTAATTCGAGGTTAGACCTAACGATTATGGTTTGTGTTGGGCGTACAGTTCTGATTATAGATAGTTTTAGGTTTGGGGAGGAGCTAATGCAAGGTGAGACGTAACGATTATAGTTTGGGTTAGGCGTAGTGTTATGATATAGATAGATTTAGGGTTAGGATTGGGCTAATTCGAGGTTCGACTTAATGATTATGGTTTGGGTTCGGCGTACAGTTATGATTCTAGATAGTTTTATGGTTGGTGTTGCGCTAATTCGAGGTTCGACTTAACGATTATCGTTTGGATTAAGCGCTCAGTTATGATTCTAGATAGATCTAGGGTGGGGGTTGAGCTAATTCGAGTTGCTGGATTAACTGCATTGACAAGGAAGGAGAATGTTGAAAACTAAATTTTTTGCTGTCACTTGAATGCTTTTCTTCATCAGGATACGAAAAATACTTCAAACATTATTTCATTGCATACAAGTGTTTGAAATCGACGCACCATTTAAAAAATTAAACTGTGTGCATTTCATAAATATATATATATATATATATATATATATATATATATATATATATATATATATACATTTGTGTGTGTATTTCTAAAAACGAATGTTTTAGAAAATTAATGGATATATTTTTATCTGACATTTTTATCCACTATCATAAGGTTTGAATTAAAAAATGTCGGATTAAAAATAAATCCATTATTTACAAATAGATATGTCGACACACGTAATACACATTGTTTAATAAAATTGATTTTTAAAATTGTTTAATAAAATTGTTTAATAAATGAGGCTTCTTTTTCAAATACAATGTATCTATTATAATAATTTTTGAAGCCATACAGACGTATACACACACGCACATACACACACATATATATATTGAAAGTAACAGGCACGTGCATATTTTATTTGATAAATTTCTTAGGTTAAAAGATAGAGCGAGAGAGAAAGAGAAATATCTGAAAAACTTAGATAGATAGATAGATAGATAGATAGATAGATAGATAGATAGATAGATAGATAGATAGATAGATAGATCTGAAAATCCTGGGACAGATAGATCTGAAAAAACTGCGATGGATAAATGGAGCGGGAGAGTGAGCGGGGAGAGAGAGATCCGAAAAACAGATTAAGAGAAAAGAGATATTTGAAAAGACTGGGATAGATAGATAGATAGATAGATAGATAGATAGATAGATAGATAGATAGATAGCAGTGAGGATGAGAAAGAAAGACAGGTAGGAGAAAAACATTGACACAGATAGGTATTAGTGTTATTAGAATTCTCTTTCTAAAACTCAAACAAAACAAAACCACGGACTTTAATTTGAATGGTGGAATCTCTACAGTTGGTGAATGAGAATTATATATGCAAAAACAGAAACTTCTCTGAAAGAATATGTCCAAATCATGTACAACTTTGCTTCTCGACAAACATGATTATTCCACTTGCTTTTCTTTCTTTCTTTTTAATGCATGATTTCTCAATTGACGCTTCAAGAAAAAGAAACGAAGATGCCATCGCTCACGTCAAGAAAAGCCTGGAAATTATATACAGAAAACGAAGGAGAAAGCAAGAATAAAACCTATCAAATAAAATTCAAAATAACTACAGGAATTGAAGCGAATTCACGGGATCAGAAGCGAATTTTCTAAAAAATAAAGAATGGAATAAAAACCACAAAAATTGTTTAATAATAAAAATAATAAAGATAAAACAATCTCAGTAAGATTTTAAAAATTATTTAAAAAAAACTATTTAAAAAATTCGAAAGGCAATAAAAAAAATGCCGATACGAAAGAAAAAAAATCGGTTATCCACGACGGCCTGCAAGAAATCAAGCAACCGGTTGGCCAAATAAAAGTTGTTGTCACTTTGAAAAGTCAAAAGTTAACAACTTTGGTTTCGCTCCAGGCCGTCGTTTTGCCTCTGTTCGACCAGATGGAAAAGATTCGAACGGTGAATCGTTCTTTATAATTTTCTCTGGTATGTATAATCTATGGCCGGCCATTATGCGAAAAGATAGAGTTAGATAGTTGACATGTGGGTGGGACAGAAAGTTGCTGATGGCTTTGAGGGGACGAATTGTCAATTGTGTCGGCGTTTTTGTAAGAATGGTGGATCTGGGAAGGAATGGTAGCTGGACAAGGGTAGAGGGCTTAACCTGTCAGTTTAGCTTACGATCAGCATGCCGAGCAGAAAGATAGCAACGACAATGGCTGAAAGGTAAAATTGTGTCTTGTGTTCTTCGCAGAACACCGTGTTTGTTGTTTTATTTTGAGAAGACTTTCTTCTTTGAGGCGAATTGTTTGCAAAATAATGTTTTGGAAGAAGCAGACAGGTCGGGATAGATGACGGAAAAGAAAAAGGAAAAATGTTAGAGAATGAGAGAAAGAGAGGGAGAGGGAGAAGAGAGAGAGTGTGAGAGGAGGAGGAAAAGAAAAACAGAAGAATGGGATAGAATAAGAGAGGGAAAAGATTATGTGAGAATGAAAACGAAAAATGGAAAAATTAGAAACATATGCACACACACACACACACACACACACACACACAGCTAGAGAAGCTGAAGAATAGAGAGACAGAGAAATAGAGAGAAGAAGAGGGACTAGAAAAGAGAGAGATTATTTAAAAAAGAGGAGGAATATATCCAGACATAAAAGAGCGGCTTTTAAGAAATATCAGAAAGAAGAAAGATAAAAAGTGATTATGATTTTAAAACGGGTTAAAATGGAAGAAGAGATGAGAACGCAGAGATGAGAAGAAAAAGAAAGAAAAAGAATGAAAAAAAAGGTAAAGGGGAAGCTGAAAAAAAGATGTAAGAAAAACGATGTCGAAGCAAAAGAAAGAAAGAAAGAAAGAAAGAAAGAAAGAAAGGTAAAGGAGAAGCTGAGAAAAGATGTAAGAAAACGATTTTGAAGCAAAACAAAGAAAGAATGGAAGAAAGGTTATAAGGAAGCTGAGAAAAGATGTAAGAAAAGGTGATGTCGAAGCAAAAGAAAGAAAGAAAGAAAGAAAGAAAAGAAAAAAAGAATGGAAGAAAGGTAAAGGGGAAGAAGAGAAAAGATGTAAGGAAAACGATGTCGAAGCAAAAGAAAGAAAGAAAGAAAGAAAGAAAGAAAGAAAGAAAGAAATAAATCAGAAAATATATATAAGAAAATTGTCGAAGTGAAAGAAGAACCCAAAAGTACTTTAAACAGTACAACATGAAAATACCAGAATAAAAATAAAAGAAAGGAAAATGTAAATAAAAAAAGAAAAGTTCTAGGAAGAAACGCAAAACAAAGATGCAAACGAACATTTTTAAAAAATGGGGGAAAAGCAAATGAAAATTCAGAAAAGAAGAAAGAATAAAAGATAAGAAAGAAAAAAAGAGGGAACAAGCCCCACCCACCAAAAAAAAAAAGAAAAAGAAAAAAAGAAACGAGATGCCAAGAGTGTGAAAATAGACGAAAGTAAACGAAAGAAAGAAAAAACTTCGAAAAGCATCAGAAAACAAGAAAGAATTTGCTTCCTGACAAAATAAGATACTCAAGAAAAACAAAAACAACAAAAAAAAAAAAAAAAAGGCGTATAGCCCGCAGTTTTCCTCCATTTTATTCGAATGATTCACTAATATCCTGAATCAAAGGACTGGAAAGTCAAGATAATAACAAATGGTTGCCTTTGGCCACAGCTGAAGATGGGGACAAATGCAAGAAGAAAAGAAATCCTATAATTAAAACAAATAAATCCAAACCCAAATGTCTTAAATTAAGTCAATAACATTCTTGTCTTCTCTTCCCACCCAAACATAAATTTCATTTTATGATCCAAATCTTCGAAATGTCACATTATCTACACTAATGACCGATAGGTCAACGGCATCAAATAACATAATTACACAAACAAAACAACGAAAATAAAATTACTTCAGTCAGATCCAATAAAAGTTATCATTATTTTCTCAAATAATCAGAAAATAATTAACTCGGGCTCAACAGATACAAGAAACCTTTATTCTTTTTCACAATTTTGTTTTAATACGAAATTTCACCTCAGCCTCGAGAGCCGGTCAAGTTAGAAAGATACTGTTAAAATGGAAATGAATGATGTATGTGCGATATGAATTAAAGAGGGGGTGAAAGAAAGCGAATATTATAAGGATTAAAAGGGTAGCTAATGAATGATCATTGTTTTAAGGTAAAGATTGTATAGTTCATGAAAGCATCCACGCCGGAGCCTTTCCATAAAGTAACAGTTCTTGGGGGAAAACTGAGTTGAACACTTTTCTTATATTTGGAATACGGGGGAAGTAAGTGTGATTCGATTTCGTGGCACTAGCATAGTGTATCCTAGCTGTAAATGTCTGAATTGGTGGAACTGAAGAATTGGGCTCATCTGAACATTTGCCATGGAAATAGCGATAGTACAGTGATAAGCCAGCAATGTGATATATGCGCGAAAACGGAAAATATGATTTCCTCTGCAAGATGATTTAAACCATTTTCAACTTTGACAAGGCTGGAAAGTGGAGACTGAGAAACACCAGCTCAAATATGACAGCAGGTGAAGAAGAGACTTGACACCACAGAAATGTCGCTCTACAGAAGAATGATTAGAATACCATGGACCGAATATGTGAGCAACGACGAAGTTTTATTGAAAATGCAAACAAAAAGGGAACTTATAGTTAACATCAGGAATGGAAAGCTGAAATTTCTAAGGCACATAATGAGGAAAGAGGGCTTTGATCTTTTTTTACAGTAAGGCTCACCCTGTACAAGGCTCAGTGGCCACTCGAGGTAGAGAGTTACATTAAGGGGTAGTTTATATAGACAGGAGCGGAAGATAATAATTCTAGACATGAACAGGTTAAGATTGTAGTGATCGTGGAAACATCCTTTTGGGAGTCTGTTCCATAGGGCAGTGGTTCGCAGGAAGAAGCTGTTTGAGTAGAACTTTCTTCTAGCCGATTGAATACAGAGGGAATGTGGGTGGGGTTGCTACTATGTAAGTGGCATGGCGGGTCCTAGCCGAGAAGGTATTCACAGAACAGATTGAAGAAAAGAAGGAAATTGGAAAACAACGCATAACCTTCCTAGCGCGCTTGAGTAAATCGATGGCGGCACAGGATTTAGGAGAAATAACAAAAATACAAAATTTATTAAGAGCTGCAGGAAATTGTCGTTTGTAACACATCTATTTATCATCTCTTAGTTGCGTCTCTGTCTTTGGGCAGAGTGCACTCAGGGGCGACTCCGTCAAAGGACAGAGTCGCAACTGAGGAAAATTATAATAAGAGGTGCTTAGCAATGGGGAACACCTGCCCGAGGCCGCGCCATCTCATTGCACCAGATCGAGGCGTCGGTGCTCGCAACGAGGCCAGCGCAACTGACAGTTTCGGGGGCTGCGGGCAATTTTTCTTCCCAGTCCGGGTGTACGCGCTCGGGACCCCACCTTAAAAAAAGACCTTGTATCACAACTCGTCTTAGTGGGGAGACAGAGTAAATACCTACTGTAGATAAGTATTGGAAAAAAAAGCAAGTTCGGTGAAAGATTCGCTTTTTAGAACGGTTTGTGAAATTTATCAGACAAACTACCTTTTATTTAAACTTCTATTGGGTTGAATCATAAGTAATTGCCTTTTTTAGGAACCATTTTTAATTACGAATGTACCATTTTAACAAACCATTCCTTAAATATATCGTAATAGATGACAGCCTAAATACGACAATTTTCACCGCCAAAGCAGTGGATTGATAAGGAGAAATTTTCTCAGCCGATAACAAAAACTGAGCTCCGTGGAAGAAAAGTAATGTTGTGCGTGTGGAAGGATCATTGTACTAAACGACAAAGAAAGTCACATACAGGAATAATACAGGAAAAAAAATTGGGAACTCGGTTGGTCTGTTCTATCCAATTTGTCATATTCACCTGACGTTGCACCAACCGATTATTACTTTTTCAATCGCTGCTTGATAACGAAAGATTTCTCTAAAAGATTCAAGTGTTCATCGAAACAATTTTTCACAATAAAACATACATACATCTATCTATCTATCTATCTATCTATCTAGCTGAGTGTATTCAGTATTGATCAATCTATCTATCTG